TAAACAGAAAGAACAAATTGAATAAAAACAATTGGGAACATAAAAGATAACAATTTTAAAATACCTGTCAGGGAAGCGTATGTTCAACAGTAGATGCCACGAGCAACATAATAAGCGTAAACCGTATTGATACATATATTTGTTTATAAGTTTATTTTAGTTACTAGTGAGGTATTTGTCAAAAAATTTTAGATCTAAATATGTTCTTCACGTAGAACAACTACTAACAACTTCTAACAACTACTTTGACAAGCATTATATTGTTTTATGTTAACAAATTTTTCTTAATAATAAAAAAGACTCCAAATTGATAACAATTTTTAATTTGCTATTTAAAATTAAATCAACTCAAAATAAGTACCTAACTGCCAATGTGATTCGTTCAGATCAAAACCAATTATAAATCAATATCAATGAATAATCTTGCTATTAGTCTAGCTATAAAAACACCCAAAACTTGGTATTAGTCAACTGAAATTTAGAATAGGCCTTTAATCGTCTTATCAGTAAAACTAGTTTTATGATTGGTGAATCTATAATTTTGGGTGTGTGTTATTAATTACACCACTAACGAGTAGCTGCTTAATGTATTGTTTTTTAAGGTGTATGACTAAAGCTAGAATATTATTTGATAAAACGATAAACCAATAAAAATGGAATGTATTAATACCTTTAAAACGCGTTATTTATTTATACTTATTATAAATTATGGACAAACGATCAACAGAATCTAACTACTTAATATTGTGCTACAAAAACACGGTACCATGTATTTATTGACGCTGGTTTTAATAACCAACTCTCCTTCTTCTAGGGCCTATACGTTTCGGATGTTTTCGACCATCATGGCAATCTTTATTTTGCAAACTGCTGCTCTAAAAAGATTTGTGGCTGTTGTGTTGAACCACGTATGTATATTTTTCAGCCAGGAAATCCATCGCCTTCCTGTTTTTCGTTTTCCTTCTACTTTTCCTTTTAGAATTAATTGCAGCAACCCCTGTCTTTCGCTGTTTCTCATGATGTGACTGAGGTAGTCGGTTTTGACTCTTTTTATTGTGGTTATCAAATCTTTTTCTTTTTGCCTTCTCAATAAAACGTCCTGCTCAGTAATATGGTCGCTATAAGATATCTTCAGGATTCTACGATAAAACCACATTTTGAAAGCCTCAATTTTCTTGCTGGTAGCGTCTGTGAGTGTTAACCCAACAACTCAACTCAACAACAGTATAGGTAAGATATATCATCGTAGTAACCTGATTTTTTATGGATACTGATAAATCATGACATTTGAATAGATTAGTCATTTTTTTTAAATGCAAATCTTGCTTTCTATTTTCCACATTTTATTTCTATGCAGTGGTCCCAATTTTCATTAACATTCGTACCAAGGTAGGTGTATGTTTGTACTCTTTCTATTAGTTGACCATTCACACTGATTCTTTTAATTTGCTGTTCCTTCTTAGAGATCATCATATTACTTTGTTTTCTTAGTGTTCAGTGAAAGTCCATATCTCTGACTCACTTCTATGACTTTATTCATTAACTCCTGAAGCTTCATAACTGTCAGCGAATACCACCGTGTCATCCGCGTATCTAATGTTATTGATACATTTTTCGTTAATTTGAATTCTGGCTTCAACAACCTCTACTGCATTTTGAAAGATTTTCTCAAAGTACATGTTAAACAGCAAGGGTGATAGTGGACATCCCCATTGGACCCCACGTTTTATTTTTTAATATCTCCATCAGCTTGTCGTGTTTTACTGTATGGAACGCTGTATGGTAATTAATAAAGCATGCATAAATATCGCAATTCACGTCTCTAAATCGTTGAAATAGCACTTGTATGCTAAAGATAGCCTCTCTCGTATGTATGATTTTTACAAATAACTTTAAAATGTGGCCCATTAAGCTGATGGTCTGGAAATTATTGCAGGATACGGATTTTGTTTTATTTGTTAGAGCAATAAATCCTGGCGCCAGATATAATCTTTTTAAATTTTTTTTTGTTAAATAGTTTGATGAGTTCAGCATATGCATCGCCAGGTCCAGGCTTTGCCATCTTTTAGTTATGATATTGCTTTTTCCACTTCATCTGACGTGATTGGTAAATTGTCATTGCATGTGTAGGACGAAGGTTGTTCGAACCTATTTTTATCTGTAATGATGTTCCCCTGGGGATCTTGTAGTTTGCTAGCTGTGTTGGATTTTTTAAGGCTAGCTGCTTGTTTTACCTTTTACCAACTGGCAAGTAAAAGCTATTATTGCTATAAACTTTTAAAACATTATTCAAATGAGAAAGCTACATACCTAGGACATTACTTCTTGACGCTAGAGATACGAGCTTTCAAAACTAATTATAGAAGAAAAACCATAGGACCGCAGATGTTCTACCTGGCCGTAGGTAGAGTTCCATGCTAAAAAATATCCGCGATTGGATAGGACTCAATTCACAAACACTTCTGAAAATGGCGCAAAACTACACATATTTCACCGAAATTATTGACAACCTCCATTAATTAAGGCAGTACCTACTTGAAGAATAATATACATAATAAGAACATTAGAGATTAACTCACACCTACAATTCAATCATAATAATATTATAACCATTTTGGATGTAACAATGAAAATCTTTTGCAAGCAACATTTCTACACACACTATTTACATATTTAAGTAGGTCAGTTTTAGCGCCGAATTGGACAACGACAAAAGGTTCATATTCAAAGTTCCAAATTGTCTAAAGGTACCTCAAGAACAACCCAAAATGAACTCCTTGAGTGCATGTTGGATGCACCCAACGAGGAAATTAAAAAGGAAATTGAAAATTCTCCTTATGTTGCAGTTATTACCGACGTTGCTGGTAAATTTCAATTAGTTATAGTTTTTTGATATTTGTGTAAAGGACAACCAGTTAAGAAATTTTGGAGATTTTATGTGCTGAACGGTCCATTGCTAAATGCCTTTTAAATGTTTTAAATCCATTATTAAGTCATACTCCGAGAAAATTAATTGCTCAAAGTTATGATGGCGCATCTGTTATATGAGAGGTGGATTAAATGGTGTGCAAAAATATTCACGAGACATATCCACTTGCAAATTTCATACGTACTTCAATCTTTTGTGGGTCTTTTAGCGATATAATACATTTCACAAACTCTTGGATTGATCCTAAGTCCCATTTATGTTAAGTAAAATATATCCATTTAGTTAAAATGGTAGGTTTAAATATGAAATCAAAAAATAATAAAAAATTAAGGAAGACTGTACCCAAACGATCTGGTTCTCCTACTAAGACGAATAAATCTAGAATCCACCCAAAGAATCCTTCAAAGGGCATTAAATAATCTCCAGAAATGGTTTGACAAAATAGGACTCAGCTTCTCTAACGAAAAAAACAAAATGGTTGTTCTTCTCAAAGAAGCAGAAAGAGGATAATCCATTTTAACATTGAGTGGTGAGAGTCTGTTTTTTCCAAAAGAAATAAAATTTGAACACTTGAAAAAATATTGGCTTGGAAAAGTCACATAAAAAATTTAACGTGTACTTGTCATCAAAGTAATAATATTTTGAAGACAGTGTTAAACATCTTATGTCAAGAATCTTTTTATCCTTATTTCAATCAAAAATTGACTACGGTTCAGTGGTATATTACTCAGCCAAGAACCTTGTTCTTAACGAACTAGATGTAATTTAAAATAACGGACTGCAAGTCGATTTGGGTGCTTTTCAAACAAGCCCCATACCAAGTATATGCAGTGAGTCAGGGCAAACCCCTTTAAAATTTAAAAGATATTTTTTGCTTGTAAAATTCTATCCTCTCCAGATAACCCAGTCTACTATAACGTTCATAACAATCGTTTTAGCTAAAACTTGTCATCTTACCTTCAATGCGATCTGCCTTTCTATGAACGAATTAACCGATTACTTCATAAATATAGCATAATATTCCCGAAAATTCATATACCCTTCAGAAATCTTCCTCCTTCATGGACTGTAAATGAACCTCCAGTAATCATTTATCTATCAAAATTTAATGAACATAAATGCTCACCACCCATATTATTAAACCACTTCAAAGATATTATAAATAGATTTAGTGATTACCGACAGGTCTACACAGATGTATCAAAAACAATGGACGGAGTGGGGGCAGTCATTTTCTCTAATAATCACTATGCTAAATTTAAGTTGCATACCAACTGAACTATCTCCAATGCAGAACTATACGCAATCCTTGAAGCTCTCAAATTCATTAACAAAACAGACCAGAGAAATTACACAATCATAACTGACTCAATGAATGCTCTTTGTGACATCCAAAACATATTACTCCAGCAACTCTATTCATAAAGACATTTACAAACAACTTCTTCTTCTTCTTCTTCTTTAGGTACCATCTCCTCTAAGGAGGTTGGTAATCATCACAGCTATTTTCACTTTTGACATTGCAGCTCTGAATTTTTCCCTGCATTATGGTTTGCAGCAACACATATTTATCCCCTCTCATAACGTGGCCGAGATACTGTAACTTTCTTATATTAATCGTATTCATGATTTCCATTTCCTTTGTCATCTTTCTGAGGACTTCAACATTTGTTATTCGGTCTACCCAACTTATTTTTAATATTCTTCGGTAGGTCCGAAGACCTACCGAACCTACCAAAACAACTTCAAGATGCTGCAAATGAAAACAAACACGTGATACAGTAAGACATATTTTAACCGAATATCAAATTTTACATGAAATGAGAAGTAAACTCATTACTAGTGACATAGGTGAGTTTCTTAAACACAATAATCATCTAAACAAAATTATACAGTTTTTAATGGCTATAGGCATAAAATATTACATATTCCAATCTTCTTTCATTTTAGTGTGTAATTAATATTATAACCTTTCTTTGTTTTATTATGCATTTTATATTGTTGTCGTCTATAACCTCAGTGGTTCGAACGACATTTAATAAATAAAAAAAAACTAATAATAAATATTAACCTAATTCCTGCGCAGCTTTTAAGATCGATTTTGACAGTGGTGGATGATAAGGGAATTGGGATACTGTCAGTAATCCCCCTTTGTTGTGGTACCCTATATCTACTTGGTCCATTTGTTTATTATCTTCGCTTTTGAGAAAATGGGGTAAGACCTCGTTGTAGCTCCAGCCTTCGTTGCCCATTGCTTCCCAGTCATCGTAATCCTTTCGAGATCCTCGAATGTACATCATACCATTGATTGTTGACGTTCCTCCTAGCACCTAAAGTAAAAAATTTAAATTTATTAGCAATTTAAAATAAGAAAATTGTGTGTTGAGGAGTACAAAAAAAAAATAACAGACGTAAAAAAATGTTTATGATAACTATAGTTAATTATAAATTATGCCAAGACAAGAATTGTTTTAATTTGTTTAATATAATAGGATTAGAATAGCAATCTTGTTTATGGATATTACTCCTACTTAGGATGCTAAAGTAATCGTTATTTCTACTTCTACGATTGTGAGAGATATAGCTGCGGCAGTTGGTATGGAAACAAAAAAACAACTTAAGTAAAGAACTTGAAGAATTATAAAATTCTAATAAGAAATAGCAAACTTAATCCAAGAAAGACAAGCTCAGACCTTCGAAGGGTTTTATTTGATTATGGTCTTAAATTAAGTACCTTAACTGTACGAAAGACTCCCATTGTAGTTCTTTTAATTTCCAGAATTGTAGTGTATTTAGTTTTAGTTAGATTACGTTATTACACATTTGCTGCTGGCTGGATGGGCACTTAGCCCGATTGCCAAGAAAAAAAAACTACGAAAAAGGCTTCTGAAGTTGACCGAAAGGTAAGAGAAGCAAAGAAGGAACAATTTGTAACATAGAAAATAAAAAAGACATTAGCCAAAAAATACTGATCATGGACTGTTGACAACTAGGAAAAGATGATTTTTTAAAGATAAATCATATTTATTTATGCAGGGATATAAATCTCATTCTTTTTACAAATTTTACAAATAAGGATTTATTTACTATAGCAAAATATGACTTTCTGTGGAATTAATCCTTTTTTAAGTTTTCATTGGTTTATAACAAGAATCTTAATCCATACATTCTTTGCACTTATAGATAACCTGATTCTTCCACGGAATTATTTTTTTAGAACCTGTTAAATTAATTAGACCATCAGCTCATTACCACCAGAAAGATTCTATGCGGTAACTTTAATATTAATTACGCTGTTGCTTGTTCTATCCAATTATCCTTGGTCAATATATTCGAATCGTACGGTTTCACAATGCACGTTCATTCTTCTACAAGAACTACTAAAACAACATCTACCATAATTGATTATATTGTCTCATATTTCTCACCCCTTGATGTACGCTCATACTTGCTTTAAGATGAAGCTAAAAAGAACAATGCCGCAACAAAATCAAAACAGGCTGGAGATTTCAAATCCGAAAACATTTAGAGATACATTAAAGGAAACTAGTATGTTGAACAAACAAGACAACCCAGAAGAAATATGGAAAGGTTTCAGAAATGCCATAGAGACCTCTGTAGAAAGAACCAGAACCGAAAAAAACGATCATCAAAAGAAAACACTGGATGACAGACAGAACGCTGCAAGTTCTCGAAGAGCGAAGTAGAATCAAATCTCTCATATACCAAAACTACAGCAACAAAAACTAATTAGCAAGATTAAATAGAGAAATTAAAAGAGCATGCAGGGATGTATGTTTTTTTCTCGTTAAAAACAACATTTTATCACAAAGTCACTTTATATAATAAATGTACCAGCGATGCTATGTTTTCTGTACTACATGAGGTCTAACATGAACTAAATAATGTACTTTATACTACCACTGGTTTTTGTGAATATGCCAAAGCTTTTTATTATGTAAATCACTACATTTTGATAAAAAACTAAATAAGATCTATTTGGAAGGAAATCAATTTAGCATCTTCCAGAATAACATATTTTTCTTCGTCTCATCTTCAAAAGGCCTTTCTTTTTGAGGTTCTAGTACACCTACCCAATCTGCTTTTATTTTTAAATTACAAAAGGGAGCAATACGGTATCTTTTTGGCCTCAGTATAATAACAAATTGCAGAAGCTACTTCAAGAAGCAATGCAATGAAGAATGTGATTTTAGTAAATTTTAGTTGTTATTGTTATATTTTTTTCACTTTTTTTAAGCTTTGTCCATAAAATTATACAATTTTCAGTGACAATAAAGTATATTTGTGTTCTATCAAGTTTTGTTAGACAAAGTGAAGGTGAACTTCTGCGACGAGATCATATTCAACAGACGGTAAAATGCCCTTGTTAACATAATTTTTGAGGTTTATTTAGAACAAATGACACTGGAAGCTTAGTTTCAACACGACAAAATATTATACAGAAAAATTGTTCTATTCATTGAAACATTTGAAGTAAAATTTCAACATGACTTGACTCCTTGTCACAATTCGAAATTGGTCTAAACTTTTATGCAGGAAAATAAAGTAAAAGATTGGCCTGGTGATTCACCAGATCTAAATCGTATTGAGTACTTAAAGCAGCTCAAGAAAGGTTTAGCTAAGAAGAATTGCATTACGAAGGTAAAAATAATAACAAGTGCTATATTTAAGTGTGACTCCACAATGATGAAGTCAAGAACATGTACGCTAAACTAGTGTTTAGACAATGCCAAGACGTATTGGAGAGCTATGTTCTGCTAAATGAGGACATAGTTTATACTAATATATAGATGTTTCAATCTACATATGGTATATCTTAGGATTAAAAGCTAAGGTTTAAAAAAATTATTTTTTTTATTTGTCCCAATTAATTCAAGTAGTATAATAATGTTCTGCACATGCTAGTTTAGTTAAAAAGATCTTTAATCTTCTAAGATTATCTCATCAAATCTTTTTTTCGCATCTTAGATATAATTTAAAGTTTGTGTTAAAAACAAACTAACGTACTTAAATATATTTCCGTAAAGGAGGGATTTTAAATGAGTGAGTAATAAATATTTGCACTAATCTATGACTAGATTACTCTTTGTGTTTTAATGATCTATAAATTTATCTAAAATGGAAAAGTCCTACAAAAGACATTATTTAAAATGAAATAAATTGCTGTATGGCATGGTATATGTAGAAAACTCCGAAATTCAGTTAAAAAACTTTGACGCAACCTGCGGAACAATTTGTTACCTCCGATAATCCTCACAAGGATAAAATCTAATGGAGTGAAGACACTGGGGTCTTGGCAAGAAACACTTTATCTTCTCCTGAAGGTGATTTACGATTGTGTCAGTTCTAATTGTGGAATTTCGTAGTAGGCCAGTAAGACTCCTTTTTTATTTAATTCGTTTGGGAGGATATCCATTCCGCTTTGGACGAGGGCGAAAATGCTTTAAAGTTCAACTGGAATTAAATTATTTACGTCGTATTTTTAATGAGTTGAGCTTGTTTCGAAATACTGCTAAATGTATTTATACAGGGCGCAACAATAAATTTAAAAATTAAGATAGTATTATCATATTTCATAAAATATATGAATTTTTTTTTAAATGGCTTTGGCTTCAAACCTTTGGCACTTAATTACATATAAATATTAGTATTCATTCATATAGGATTATACAAGGAGGACACTTTTCACGCTCAGGGATTCATCAGAACGGATTTATTGTAACAAACAAGACATAAACCACGGTTAGGTAGGTGGGCAACATATATGGTAAACATACAAAAAAAAATTTAGTATCATATGGATCTGATAGTTTTAGTAACTGTTGAAAAATTTGTAATATAAATATACTGCTATTGATTGTAAATTTAAAGTTTTGTCAGGAGTGTAATACTGACAGTGAATCACTGCATATGACAATTTTGTTCCACTGGTTTTCACAGCACAATTCAAGGGCTTTGTATATAGCACATGCTTCAGCAGAAAAGATGCTGGATTGATTATTTAAAATAAATCATTTTTTAATCTTCATTTTTGGTACAAAGTAAACACTGGTTGTACATGTTGGTGATTTTGACCCGTCTGTATAGATCACAATATGATCTGAATAGCCATTTAAGATTTCTTTAAGAGTAGTGTAACAAAATTCGTTTTGGTATTTAGGAATAATAATATTTGTAGCTAGAACACTTGTTAGAAAAAAGACCAAAACAAAATAAAAAATATATATACATATTACATACAATATCAAAAAAGTAATACAAGGAAATAAAAAAATCAAATAAAAAAAAAATAAATAAAAAAAATAAAAAAAATCACAAACAAACAAAAAAAAAGAACAATCAAAACTAAGTCAATTATTTAATTTATTTTTAACTTACTTAGTACTAACTCGAACTCTGATTGTTGTTCTGTGAATAAAAATTACAAAACAGTCTGGTCAATTGGCTATGCCAAGGCCATTAAAAAAAAATAAAATATGAAAAATTAAGTACAGAGTATCTTATTAATAAGAGTACAGGTATCAGTTAGAACGAGAAAAGAACTACCAAACTACTATTTTGTATTAAGAGGGGAGTAATATATTATTATTATAAGTTAATATCATTATTAACACGTTGCCTGCCGTCTCGGTCTATGTGACCGAGAAAAAATTGGTCTGCACGCCAGCGAGGTCTATTTGACCGAGAATATTAATGTAACTGTGGTGCTGTCTCAGTGAATATGGCGTGAATGGAAAGTATTACAAAATATCCATTTTTAGCCACAGAAAATCACTACTGAATAACCATAAAAAGCAAAATAACAAATTGGGAAGTATTTTATGAAATAATAGTAACTGTGTAACACAAAATTATTAAATTGGGTCCACCAAAATAGACAAAGGAATACTAGAAGAGGTACTCTTAGGCATAGGCAATCAGCGAACAATAATAATGATTAGGGACTTAAATACAAAAACTAGAAGAAGACAAAATAATTTAGTAATAATTAACTTAAGCGAAACGACTAACAATAACGAAAAAGACTAATATACCTATGTATATCTAGATTTATCCTGAATATCCTTAGTGAATTATATCTCCACAAAAATAAACTTTTACTTCAGGATGCAAGAAAATTAAAATCTGTTTTTAATTATATTATAATTAGGCAGATATCTGAAGTAAAAATATAAAACACTTCAGTATACACGGCTAATGGATGTGGATCCTATCACTACTCATCAATAGATTACTTAATTAAATTACTACTACTCATTACTATTATTGAAATATTGAGCTGAAAGTCTACACTCTTTCTTAAGTACCTGGAAGGTGATATCTGTATTCATACAATCTACAAGTCGTCAGAGACAACAATGCCACTAAACCTCTAAAAATCATACAAACAAGCTGAATTTTGCCGAGAACATTAATTTTGGGACTCCAAAAAAAATGCAAAAAAGTTTACTTTTACCCTCGAGCTTCCTCTTAAAACCCCCCTTCCATTGGAGTAAAAACACAAAAAAATCGATTTACCAAGAATCAGTACATCCTAAAAAAAAATGTTTCAAATAAAAAATATAGCTGAGATAATTTTACACAACAACGCATGAAGCGACCATCGATTTTGCATGTCAGTTACGCATGCGAAATTCATGTTTAACAAAAGTTGTATCAGCTCGATGGAAAAAATTTGATATTTTATTATCCAAGTGTCCCATCGACAAAAATCAAGATGCGTTTTAAAGGCAAAGAGTGCAGCTTTTATCATGTCATTTTTTCATTTCCATTCTTTCATTTAGCGTATATTCAATAGCGTATTTAGAGAATTAAAGGACGAAGGACCACCAGCCTGGGGCTGGAATGAATAACAGATTTAAACACTAACTTATATTTAATACTAAGATTAAATAGCAATTTCTGAAATCTGTCCGAAAACACTGTGATATGGGGTATGTCCAACTACACTTTTCACTGGCGCTATTTTCGCTATTATATATAACTAATTACAAGTATAATTGCTTAGCGGAATGTCGGTTCTATGTTAACGAACTACTGGCAACACTGGTGGTTGAATATATGATGTTTATATAAAAACTATACTGCGGTTTGAACAAACACTGATTACTATGAATGATTGACTTATAATCTTTATGAATAATATTGCGATACGAACTATTTAGTTACAAATACCTATACTATTATATTAATAAGCGAATTTGCGAGCTAGCGACTGTTAGCTTACGAGATTTTGCGACCGACTGTGGTAAAAGCTTTTTCTGAACTGACTGATAATATTCAAATTATGTAGACAGGTAGCGGATGGTCTCCTACCCCTAGAAGTACCGTTAAATATATTTCTTTATTCCTTCTAAGAAGGCTTAGCGATATCGGCCTGGGAAAAATTAATCTCAAGTGAAATGAAATTTCACCAATTTCAGCATTTCATATTAGAGGAAAAAAATATTAGAAATAATGCCTCTCAAATAATATCAGAAAAATCGTCGGTATATTCACTTCGCTAATAATAATCATATAAACAACGATCAGTACTACCATAGCCACCTTTACTTCCAAGCCATGAAGTAGAAATTTGGCAACAACGCGTGGTAGTCCGACCGTGGTTTGTTTTGTTTAACATTTCATATAGGAAAGCTTGTAAAGTTTGTTGAATTTAGTGTTTTTTTACCTTTATTCGAATGTTTTATTTGTAAATTGTGTTTAAATCAATTAGAAAATATTAATATAAGTGAAATTTAAGTTTAGAACTTTTAGAAGATTCTTAACGACAATTTAAAAGGCAAGTATAAGTATAACCTACAAAACAAACTGAAAATAATAATACTTTTGCTTCTTGTTACAAAATATGTAAACTAAAATCAACAATAATAATACTTTTGTTTTTTGTTACAAATGCTCTGGCATTGTACCTGGTTGCAAAACCAATTATGCCAGTACTTTAAAAACGAAACAGGTAGATAGTACGTTTTCGTTTCCCAAGATCCCCAAAGAAGGTATACTGGGTTATGCTCTATTCATAGAGAAGGCTATACAATTACAAAATCTTCCTTAGTATGTGCCAAACATTTTCATGAAGATGATATTCAGCGGACTGCACAATGAGAAGATAAAGATGGAAATGTACACATTGAAAAGTTAATATTTCCAAATTAAAAGACAATGCAGTTCCTAATATATTTCCTGAAGTACCATCATATGTAACTGTTCATCGTACTAAAGAAAGAAGGAATCCCGAAGACAGAAGAAACTTTTTGCATAAGAAGAGGTAACAAGAGAAAACAGAATTCTTAGACAATGATTTAATAGATTCCTTTGAATCATTTAGAGATTTAGATCATTATGAGACTTAGACTTAGAATCATTATGAGACTTGGACAATAATATCCCATTGAAAAACTGGACAAGTAAAAATTACAAGTGACTGTGTATATTTCTATGTATTAAACATTAATCAGTTGGGACACGAGTGTGATAATATTTGTGTAATAAGTAGTGTAATAGTTAGCAGTAATTTTAGTGTAATCGTCAATGTAGGTAAGAATAGATTAAGTAGTAATGATTTGAAATGGATTTTACATATAACAAATTAACAAGATGGTCACAATTAGAGAACTTACTTTCTCGATATAGATCTGCTTTTTAGATAAGTGATAACAAATTTGAGTATTACATTCAAAAATTTTTTGAGAATATAAGCTATTTTAAATCGATATACAAGTTATAAGTGGTATGTTACATTCAACACATTTTTCATGTATACCTCATTTAACTTGCTGTATATGACCAAAAACCTCTTCATACTTAAAATTACTACTTTCGTATACCTAAGTATGAAAATTCAACAAAAGTTATAAGTAAATAGTAAAATATTTAATTTTCAATTAGGTAGATTAATTTTGAACCATATTTATAATTAATTTGTTTTCTTGGAGAAATTGTTTGTCATGCCATGTTGCCCACAGCATTTATTCAAATTCTTAATTAGTTTTTGAAAAGCTGGGTTTGTAGCAAAAACTGTATCATCAGCATATATCATTTTATGTTACCTCTATCTATTTTTATTCTTTATAATTCATTGTGGGACATCCAATATCTAGCTATTAAAATATATTTCTTATGAAACATACATTATGTGGATACATACACCTCTAAATATTAAACTCGAGTTTCTTCCCCAACTTCTAATAAAATCCAACCCAAGTCAGATCGATCCACATTGTCTTGCCATATCTCCGTGTAGATTTATGATTTTGTACAGCTTACCTTCCCCCGAGGCCAATAACATCTTTTTTCGTTTTCGGCTAGACATGCTTGAGTTTCCGGTTCGGTTAGATAACCCCAATCAATGCTCGATCCCAGGAAATTTAAGAACATTGATGGCACTTGCGTACCTGTCGGCTCGTCTAGACCTGGAAAAGACAATAAAGTAGGTTTAGTGGGGCGTAAAAACGGATCTACTTTTAAAATTGTTTGGAAACTTCCAAGAATACACGTTTTTTATGTTACTTATAACAATATGAAAATAGTATGGCGATGTTAACCCAGTTTCAACAAAAATGTATGTAATATATTCTTTATTTTTTATTATTATATTTCTGTCATCAAATAGCCTCTAAATATCTTACAAGCGGACTGAAGTTTGCTGTGAATGTCAATTTTGAGACCATAAAAAGATGCAAAGAAAGTTTGCTAATAACGTAACCTGAGTGTCCCTTAAAAACTTGTTGGTAAAACCCCCTTGTTGGGGTAGGGGGGAATCGAAAATATCGATTTACGAATAATCTGTAAACCATAGAAAAAAAATTACATAAAATAAATGTAGCTGAAATAATTTTGAACAAAAATGTTAACTATAGATAAATTCACAACATTCAGATGGCAGCGTTACAGAGATAGGCCTGTACTTTCTATATGCCAGAAATAACTACATTGTTGTCATTTTTTAATCGTACCTACAATCGTACCGTTATGGGCCGGCTCCTATAAAAGAATTATAATTTCGGAAATATTTATGAATGTGAAACGGAAAAATACTACATTTTTTTAATTACATAATTTTTCTGTTGGTATTTTAAAAATAGAAAGTTATATTTCGGAAATCTGGTCTTTTCGGAATTATATCTTCTGTTCAAAATTGTTTACAATACGTGGAAATGAAATAATTATTTGTATAATCCGGTTTTGATCTTAATGTCTTTTAATGACACACTTTCTCTACCTGCATTTACAGTTACAGACATTAAAATAATAATTTAGAATTAAAAAAATATACTATTTATAAATTCAAAATTATTGTCTAATGCCAGCAATCATTGTTTGTTTGTGTTTAAATGACTGCGGACACTAAATCCATTCGCCAATTTTTACAATTTGAGGTGTTAGTGTGTGTGTGTGTGTGTGTGTGTGTGTGTGTGTGTGTGTGTGTGTGTGTGTGTGTAGGAGTAATTGTCTTGATACTTAGCAAAGTCGACGTCATTGTCTTTTGCTAAGAGACGCTAATTGTATCCGAAACGTCTGCGGTCCCTCCGGTGTGTACCGATCACACAAGGATAGAAATTATTTTCATTTATTAATTTTTTTTTAATAAACGAAAATTTCCACCAGGTGGGATTCGAACTCACGACCTTTAGATTTAAAGGCAGGCGCTCTTACCACTGAGCCACAGAGGGGGTTACCCAGCAATCATAATATTCAGGTAAATACTTGAGAGTCATTAAAGAATTTTCAGTTGATATCAGACGTTTGTGGTCGTGTCAGTGTCAAAATGGCCGCGAGTGTAATAAATTCAAAAAAACGGTAATTTGTTGAATAGTGAATGCAAAAAAATAGTGGTTAAATGTTTTTTAACTATTTATCAAACAGTAATAATGATAAAGTGTATCAACAATAGTGCGGGAAGTTTCTGCTATGACTGGAGTCTCTGAGCGAACGATATTCCGATATAGAAGTGAAAGTAAAAATGGTCCACTCGTAACTCCTATAAGAAAAAAAAAGAACCGTTATTTGAATAGTCGTGAGAATAGTTATGATGAAGCAACTCGGTCTAGAATAATAAGACAAGTAGTGCACGGTTTTTTTTTATGGACAATATTCCTCCAACCCTTGACGTAGTACTAGAAAAAATGAAGCAAATGGAGCATCTTCCAAATTTTTCCAAGAGTACGTTGAGAACACTATTGCACGACATGTGTTTTTTATATGGCAAACAAGGTAGAAATTCAATATTAAATAGAAAAACAAGAAATAGTCGCTTGGAGGCGTCACTATCTCCGGAAAATAAAGAAACTGAGGAACGAAGGAGCCAATATCATTTATATGGACGAATCATGGGTTAATACTGGAATAACCAATGGGCAAGTATGGCAAGATACAACAATAAAAAATAGCCGACAGGCTTTCGTAAATGGACTTACCACAGGTTTAAAAACTCCGACCGGAAAAGGACCAAGATTTGTTTTAGTCCATGCAGGAAACAAAGACGGATTTGTTGAAGGTGCTGACATCACTTTTCTTGCCAAAAAAGGTGCTGAAGATTACCATGAAGAGATGGACGGAGATCTATTTGAAAAATGGTTTGAAGAGATGTTAATACTGAATCTCCCCAAAAAATAAAAGGAATGTCATTATCTTGGACAATGCCATCTTATTACTCTAGGAAATTAAATTTTCCCAAACAATATTGGGTTATAAAACGTCAAATTAAGAAGTGGCTCTATGAAAAGGACATTTATTTTGAAGAAGATTACTTAAAAAATGAACTTCTGGAAACTGCTAATGTATTTAAAAATATTTATGACAAATACAAAATTGATTGTATTGGTGAAAAATACAGGAATCACAGTGACGAACAATGCCGCGTAGATGTACATATCTTAAGACTTCGCCTTATCACTGTGAACTGACCCAATAGAAATGGTGTGGAGTGAAGTGAAACCTTACGTGTCCTCTAAGATTCAAGTTTCAAACAAAACGACGTTAAAACATTGATTTATGAAGGTATATGATAAAGTACAGAACAATGGACATTGGAAAAATTACGTCAACCATGTTATAAAATTGGAGAATAATTTTTGGACAGTAGACAACATTCAAGATGACATTGAACCTATTAGAATTTCATTAAACGAATGACTCTGAAGATGAAACTAGATTATGAAATATGAAGATGATTGAAAATTGTTTTTCGGGGGTATTCTTTTTCTCAGTAAAGGTAATAAAATATTTAGTGATCTGGTTGAAATGTATTACACTTAAATTAACTCATCAATCGACATAATTTCAAGTAGTTATATAGACGTCATCAAAAACAAAGTTTTGAAAAATCTTTGTTCAAAGTTCGATATAAATTTAAAAACCTAGGTAGCACTTTTTCAGTTTTCAGCATGTTTTCAATGACATGTAATTTTTGATGGTGTTATTTTTGTATTGAAGAAAGTTTGAAGCCAAAAGTACGTGCCTGTTGTTAGATATCAGTTGCTAAGTGATAAGCATACTGCATTTAAACCCTTGTGTTCTAGGGCCCCAATTAGGGGTTTTTTGCAATTATCTCAGTCATTTGTTTATGTATTTTAATTTACAAACTAAAAAATTAAAAAACTTTTTAAGTATCTGCAACATTTATTTGAAAACATTTTCCCCAAAATGCACGAGGAACAAAATAGGCAAAAAAATTATTTTTTTCCAACTTCATCTTTCTTTAAAAAATAAACAAAGCAAAATTGGCTGTAATTCTTCAAGGAATTATCATCAGTTATCCCTTATCTACTGTTTAGAACATTAAAAAACCTGTAGATATATTTTTCATATTTTTTCCCTATTAACTGCGGTATTATGCATAAAAGCATTTTAAAAAATTATTTCCATTTATTTCATTCACGAATTTTCTATTAACAACTTTAGCTTACCTAAAACATATCTTAGTTTACCGTGAGTGTTGGCCCTGCTTATTTCACAAAAGTAGCAAAACTTACAATGGCAGTAGAATTGGCAACGCTGTTATCCTATATCCGTACACTGCCATCTGAACGTGACTTTATCTATAGCACTTTTGGTTGTAGAATAAATCGTTCTCTTAGAAACAATGCGTGAAGCAATCGGTGACTTTGAATGTTAGTAAAGCGCAAGAAATCATTTTTTTTTTAATTTGATTCTACTCGACGTAAAATATCGACGGTAAAAAATTGATATCTTTTGATCATAGTGTCTTATCGACAAAAATCAAAATATGTTTTTGATTTTTGTCAATAAGAGAGAATTGTCGGGAGAAAATTTTGTCGGCAATATTTTTAACTGGTATGAAAGTTTGTTGTCTGGCAATTTTTGAAATTAAATTTTGACAGTTAAATCACGAGACTTAGTCGAGATTTATCAAAATTCATGAGCAAAATGCCAGAAGAAAATTTTGCCGGTAAATAATTATTTCTCGAATAATATTCTACAAGACTATTTCACGAGACAATTAATGCACCATATCAACGAAACTAATCTTTATTTATTATTAACAAAGAACAATTATAAATTATTAAGCTATAGTAGTTTGCCCATTCTTTTCTACCAAAGCACATTTTGTGTATTATTGACCATTTGGAAACTCGAAGGTCCAGCTTCATTTGTTGTTTCAAGATTTTTGATCAACTTCTGGTGGTGACTGGAATTCAGCTGCAGATATGGTTTTAGAGAGCTTGCATTTGAGTGACTCGTTAATTTAATTAACTACTGTTCAGAAACACCTTGCATGAACAAGGCTGACACAGCTGAAGATCAAGAAGAATGGTTTGTCATTTTATGATTTTTTTGGATCTATTCCAATTTTTTGTCCACTTGGATACGGTATTGATTACAAGTGAACAGTTTGTGAACCAAGATTCATCCTTCCAGTTGGGGTGAACGGTAAGAAAGAGTCTGTCTGATAAAATCTTAGGTCCCCTTTTTTCCATTAAGTAATTTCAAAAATAATTTAACTGGGCATACATTTTCATTTTGATGAATTTCTTACCAGCTATTTGCTGCTTGCCAAACTTTTCGAACCGCCTTGGTTTGTTTTGGAAAAAATGATGTTATTCAATTCGGCCCGTAAATTCTCCCATAACATCAAATTCCTTCTGGAAATATTGCTGTTGAATCTTGCAGTTTACGACCTCATTGCCTCTCCAAGCAAGTTCAAATGAGAAAAGCTGAAAAAACTGTTTTTGTGCCCATCGGGGGTTTCCTTGTCGTAGCTTTGTATGATTTTGAATAGTTCTTCGGTGGATAATGCTTTTGAACAGAGTTTTTTTTTCTTGAACACTTTGAAACTGCCTTCGCTTGTATATCTGGTCAATCTTGCACATTTGAAGATATACTGTGAAAGAGTCAATTTTTATGCTGTACTAAAATATTTTTCTTGACTAAACATCATCGTCAGTCCTAAACATCTCGGTCGAAGATATTTGTCTTCTTCCTTTAGTTTGAGTATCTGAAGTAACTCAAAAAAGGGGTAGAAAACGGGGTAAACAGGATATTTAAATTCAACGCCAGAAATTGAAGATATAAAACAAAAAATTACTGAAAAAGAAGCAAAAAAAAAGAAAACAAGGAGCAAGAAAAGTGACAAGGCAAGTTCGTGTTTCAACTACCAACAGTTCTGAAGACGATTGTGAATCTTTTTTTGAAGAAGATGACTCGGACGATGCAGCTTGTATTTACTGCAACGAACTATTTTCGCATTCACGATCCAAAGGAAAATGGATTCGTCAAGTGTGTAAGAATTGGTGTCACAATAAATGTGCAGATGTAAATCCTGGACGTAAACAATTTGTGTGTGAATTGTGCATGTAACTTTTTTCTTAAAAATACCTATTTGTAATATTATTTATCGTTTAGAATATCTTTTGGTTTAATAAAATAATTTGGTATTTACTTATTTTATATAAAATGTAACAAGTCCATCATGGCGTATCAAAGGGTCCATCATGAGCGCATATATGCTCATAATGGACCCTTAACAGGATTTTAGTAAACTGTGAATAACTTTTGTCATCTTAATTTTTATCAAAATTGGAAACATTTGCATATTATAACAATAACAATACGTTATGGGGTCATATTTAAAGCCTCCTAAGTAAATAATTAAAATTATTATGGAGCTTTTTCCTTAAGGGGTACATCACAGGCACATTTCCCCTAGTACATATTTCAAGAGTAAAATTTCTCACCCGTAGGAAATCCGAAAATTGGGTCCAAATAGAGCTTTTGGCCCACGGCGTGTTCAATGGGACATTTTCCGAACAAAATTTTTTGATTTCTTTACCTGACCGGCATCAGAATCTTGATTTTTCGGTGAATTCATTATATCTGTCCAAAATTGATAACGCCTCAATGACGTTTGTCAAACTGACAACAATAAAATTACCAGACATCTTCGTGACGGATCTGTCATAATTTCCGTTCTATCAGTTATAAATAGTCTAGTGAAAAGTGAAATAGTCATACAAAAAAAACATGTTAAAATTATTTCAGGTATGGTAGTGACATCTGTCGAAAAATAGCTAAAGTTTTTAGTTTTTATACTAAGGCTTCTCGCGTTCGTATTTAACAGAATAGAATAATACCGAAATTTCAAAACCGTTTGAATGAACTGTTAAAGCAAGCAAAGTAATATTTTTATCATTAGTGATCTTATTTACTTTCATCCTGTCATGTATTACATGCATTTTTATTAAACTTTATTATGTTAAGAACGTACCAGCTTCAATTAGTAGCACCCTCCATTCAGGTATTTCTGATAACCTACTGGCAACCACTGCCCCCGAACTTCCTCCGCCTACAACAATAAAGTCGTAATCGTGAAAAAGCGAAGGCGGTCTAGCTCTATGACAGGGATCTTCTATGTCACATTGAGAGCGAAGAAATACTTCAAGAAGGCCCATAAACAGCATAAAAGGAGCGCCACCGCATGTTGCTGCCAAAGTCGGGCCAGGCTGAGTAAGGGGACATTCACAGGCCATCTGAAATAAATTTACCATAAATTAAACACAATTTTATTAAATTAATGAAGTATTAGCGATGTGGAAGTCAACGTGTTAAATTACAGTTTATTTTTGATTTAATAATTTGACGTGTATTGGTTCTTTTCTTGAGACCGACTTTTTCGTTGCGTTTATTTTTTTTTTAATTACCCCTCCCTGCTAGACAGAGACTAAAAGATTGTATTTCCGTGACTATTTCTCCAAATATGAAAATAGGAGCAAAATAGAGGTTCAAATTGAAAAATAGGAGGATTTCGAGCAAACCATTTGTACGCAACTCAAGACAAAACAACTCACAGTCTGGTGAAGATATGTAGACAATGTGTTCTCCATTGGATCTCCACGGATGCTCCACAGACCAGAAGCATAGAATAGATTTCTGAATGGAAATCAATAATAAAGAAGAATAAATCAAATACACTATGGAAAATAAAAACAACAATTTACTTACTGTGCTAAACCACAAAAGAAGATAAAAGATATGCAACCAATGTATATAGTAAACCAAACCTCTAACCAATAGATATTTAAATTGTAAACATCACAAAGAAATATTAAATTTACAAAGCACGTGGTGTTGTGTGTATTAAGGTATAATAAAAAGCGCTTTATGAAAAGCTTAAAATTTTTATTTTAAGGGAAGATTTTTGCGGGATTGTATCATTCCATCATCAGTTTAATAAAAAAGTTGTTGATAAAAAACATTGTATGGCGCACTTAAAAACCATTGGGGATGGACACAGGATTTAATAAGTTTATCTTCATGGCATTATTAAGGTAAATGCATAGATCTTAAATCTGGGTATTACTAAAAAATGAAAATGGGGGCATTTCATATGACCCTGTAGTGGTTGAGGTTTTATGACTTACAATACCTCTTTTTGGGACAATCTGTGTTGGAGTCTAGGGTCTAACAGTTAGCCCTAGATCGCTACAAATATGAATGTCATCAATTTTTAATATTGATAAGAGGGTGTATCAGTAATGTTATTTTCTCTCTAAAATTTGTTGCTGGTCAAAGGCCAAAAAACATTTGGTGCAAATAACCAGCGGTGAACGAGGACTAACCCATGACGCTAGTATGCGCTTTTGTACCACGGTCAATATATTTCCACGTAAGTTTATTTATAGAGAAATGGATAAAAGAAGGTTTGGACAAAAACCATTGGGTTAATATATCATCCTTCAACATATATACAAACCCAAATCGGCCCTATGGGGTAATATACACCAAATCAGGGTGGACAACGAAACAATTTTTCTTATAATGGTTAAAACATTTTCAAACAGCATGTTAAAGCTTCTAAAGAGCATCAGGTCTTTGTTTTTCAGTGCTAGATTACCACACAACGCATTCAAGTCTCGGCTTCCACAATTTTGTCCACGGCACCGGGAAATAAATCTCCTTTACTGCCACAGCCACACCTTCCACAATTCTTCCGCCTCTAGATATCATGTTTTTTTCTTCATTCCACTCAAGCTTTACTACCAAGGAATGTGCAAGTATGTAAACAAAAAAATATGAAAAAACAATACAACAGAGTTGTGGGAACTTGTTAAAAATGTCCTAAATAGGGCGCGTCAGTTAAGAAGGATGTAAATGGATTTCAGAATCGACAGGAATCTTTTCCTTTAATTTCCCGATGTTTTTGTGGCAGAAGGCAAGTTACTATTTATACCAAGTAATTGAAAATATATCAAAGCTAATGTGTCTTCTCTGCCCGATACACATCAACAAACACTATCGCAAACACCATAGATGAACCTATCAGGGCCCCCCAGTGGAGTCCCAAAACAAAAACTGAGCACCAAACGCAGCACTATTACCCAGAAGATTATTTGTCTAAAATCAGAACTTGAGGAATTTTCAGACATTGATCTTAGCGACGATAAGGATAAATATGTGCAAGCTTTAAAAATTGAATAGGCTTATTTCATATTTCTCTTCCAGTGAACTATGCCCTCTACCGCACTTCTACTACAGGAGTGTTCTACAAAAACACTAAGCAGACGAACTCACACACTCGACCCATTTTTCAACATCAACACAATTTAAAAGATCAATTAGAAAATAAGGAATAAAAAAATGTAAAATAAGAATGAGGTTGAGAAAGTTAAACAAACAATTGGAGCTACTAAGATAAAAATAGAAAAATTATTTAAGAAGAAGACTCATGGCGCAAAAGCACACCAAAACCACGAGAAAGCGAACTATGTGCAGCTATGTTCGTAAGTTTGGGATCAAATAAATCAATTATGGTAGAGATGTCGTCTCTGTGCGATTTCTGGGCTCATGCAGACCGCACGGAAGCGGATACTGCTACCTTTATATTTGCTCAAATACTGTAAAATAGTAACTAATGGAGTATGTATTTTATACTTAACCTGAAGTAATCTTAACCATGGGAAAAACTTGTCCATACTGTGATCGATATTTCCTCACCTTGATCGGTGTATATCCATCTCCATTGTCGATATTACCCAATTGATCGATATTACCCAGCATGTTTTTCGGTTTCAAAAAATTTGTATTTTTATAATATTTTTAATTATTGGTTATAATATTTTCCGAAAAGCAGTAATTTGGTTTTCACACTGGATGAACTACATGTCCATATTATAAGTATTCAAAAATTCGTGAAAAGCTATACCAAATCAGTGCTATAACAGTGTTTGTTATATAGTAAGTTGATATTTTCCTTACCTCCCCTCCCTATTAGAAGGAAAAATGTAATAGTCAAACCCACCCAGCACAATAGTAAGCAGGCTTTGTTTGCCAATTTATTCTAAAAATAGAAGTCATCAACAAAAAACATACCAATAATAGCTGAGTAATAGGAAGTGGAGAAGTCACCCACCCAACTCACACACAATACATATGCAACACACAATACACAATCATCTAATAGAATATGTTACATAACTACTACCACACCATACACACTACACAAAGATATAACACAAAAACACGCTAAACAGTCAGAATTTATATTCCGTAGGGTAAAAACATCACTCTCAAAAAAAGTTGTTCAACCTTAGCTTAGAAGCTTAGTATGTCAATTTTAAAAAACAACCTATCAACACTCTGTTGTTAATACCATTATATTTTCCAGAATTTTTAAAAAGAATTTTTTTTGAGAACGATTTCCGTGTAAATCGAAACGTCAAACTTTAGCTAATTAAAAATGTATAATTTTGATTACAATAAATTGTGCTTAATGCCATATAAACATATCATTTCAATTAGACATGCCACAAGAAAGCTGTTTCAAAACCTTTTAATATAATTATAGGGATCAAGAAAATATTCAAAGTACAAAACAAACTACCTAGCTCTACCGTTTACTTTTATGTTTCAAATAATTTAAATTAAAATAAATGTTTTATAGCAAAAGTACTATAAATGGTAGTTAAGTAAGTATTCAGCAATCGCAAAATACATACCTTATGCACAATACCCATTCACCTGTATAGAGCGGCATGGATAATAACTATTAAATACATGTGGAATCGTAAATTTCTATAGATCCTGGCGGTGAACATCTTCACACGTCAATAATTATATAATTAAATTGCTTAGGAAACACACCGAATAAAACAATAATAAAATACAACCTCTATCTCCTTTTAACCGTAACCATTTTTATGTAACAATAAATAGTTAAAACCAATATGCTTACTCCTTAAGATCAATGAACTGGTTTATGGTCTGTGTAAACAATAATTTATATTTATTGTAGACCGGTGAAGTAAATAAAATGTTATTTACCATTTAACATTTTCTTCGACCAATTTAAGTAATAGTAATAAGAAACTGAAGAGGCCGTGCCAACGCTAAAGACATTAAAGGCTTATGGAGAAGTTTATATAGTGGCAAAAAGATTAAAATATTTAAAAACAAATCAAAAGAATGATTATTGTCAAAAAAGCGTCAAAACAACATCATAAAAAGGAACATACATAAAAAAGAAACTGACCCAAAATTATCTTATTCTTCTTTTTCTTCCTCTTGCTTTTATATATACATGACTGTGTATGCGCTTCAATTCGCCTCCATTATGTTACCATTTAATCATTTTTGTGATCTTTCCACTAATTTTCTTCCTATTGGACAACTGTCTTTACTGCTGTATTTGTTCGGCTCTCGGCTTTTAAGATAGTTTTTTATATTATGTCGCTAAGAATCCATGTTCCTCATCAAGGAACAAGAAATGTGCACAAAGAAGTTGACAAAAAGTGAACTCTAAATGTGCTAACTGTAAAAAATTTATCTGCTTAAACTATAAAAGTTTTGCCAAACATATCAAGTGTAATCCGCATTGTACTGAAGACAATAATTAATTGTCGTATTTGTTTTATTTTAATAAAGTTTCCAGGTATACGTAAATAAGTTTTTTATTTATTTCTTCCTTAAAACATACGTTTACTTTTTACATAAATTACACACGTTCTTATAAAAAAATAATGGGGTCCCTAAAAAACCACCCCAAGTAGTACTTTACATAACAGAATTGAACGCCTTAGTTTAAAGGTTAATGGAAAAATCGTTGTTTTTTAGTTAAATTGTTGTTCCAATAAAATACATATATAATAGTTGGTTTATTATTGTTTTCCAGTTTTGTTGATGCTTTATTAAGAAATTGGCCTATTTTTAATAAACGAGACTGTCACTGTAATTGTCGCAATTGATTTGTGGTCAATATTTAAGTGGACAAACAAATATTCGAGAGGTAGTAAGTGGCACATGAAAAAAGAATAAGAAATAATGGTCTAGATTCCAAAAATAGTCAATTAATTAATGTTTTTACCAACGTACTTTCAAACAAATACAATTATTTTGTGAATAGGTTATCCTTGACAATCTACTTTATAAACTGAAATAAATCTGTTCGTGTAAGACTTTTATTTAATTGAATACTTAATAAAGAAGGACCAAGTATGTTTGGTGAAAAAGTACTGTAAGCAACGAGTAAAATTATA